AACCGTAGTTGGGCTTAGTCCCACTACTACTCCCTTTGTTATTGTAATCTGCCTTGGCCTTGACAAAGCCACCGCCTTTATCCTTTTTTTTATTCTTGTCCTTCTTCTTATCCTTGAACCTGAAGGACTGGCCTTTGTCTTTCTTCCCCTCCTTGGACTTCTTCTTGTCTTGTGTAGTAGACCCAATCATCTTGAAATCTACAAGACAATCTGCCGCTGTCATGGCAGTAGGAAGGTCCCTCACACCTTGCCTACGGAGTTCTGCCTGAGCCCATGGTTGCAATCCGGACATGAAATTGAACAGCTTGTCCTCCTCTGACATATTTCGAATGTCCAGCATCAAGGAACTAAAGTCCTTCACATAGTCACGAACGGTACTTGTGTGCTTCAATTTCTTCAGATATTCCCTTGCAATCCATGTAGTGTTCTGAGGCAAGAATTGGTCCTTCAATTCCTTCTTAAGGGTCTCCCAAACTTCAATCCGAGGCCTACCCGTAGAAGCATCGTCCTCTGTCCGTGTGCGCCACCATAGTTTTGCATCACCAGACAGATACATGCTTGTAATGGTCACCTTCTCGCCATCGGGGATCCGAGTAGCCTTAAAGTACTGCTCCATGTCCCATAGGAAATTCTCCAACTCTTTGGCATTTCGGGTACCACTGAAAGACTTGGGATCCGGCACCTTGATCTTCTGTGAAAGAGGATTACCACCGCCTCTGGAACTCCCATGAATGGCCCTCTTCACCAAGGACACTTCATCTTCAAGGTCTTTCAGGTTCTTCTTGAAGACATCAGTCAACGACTCAACATCTTCAGAGATACGGGTCAATTGCTCTTTGGTGGCCTGCATGAAGTCACCAAACCCATCAGGATCAGTCTTCAAGATCTCCACTTCAGAAGCCAAGTTTTCAATTCGAACAACAAGGCTCTCTGCACCATCTTGTACCTCTGTTTCTGTAGAAAAACCCACGAACTCTTCCAAACGGGAAACTCTCTCACGAGTATTACCTCCAGCCATCGTAGAACGGGGCTCTGATACCAATTGTTACAGGGCTAAATTACACCACGAATTTTTGCCTCTGTAATGGCACTTGGGGCCACCAAGTCTCAGCCAACACAACAACACAATACACACAGTATATAAATGTAAAGAAGGTACACACAGTTTACAGGGACAAGCCCCAACCTTTGCTCATATTAAACATATTACAAAGGAACATGAGTTCGTACAAGGAACAACCAAGGCTCACACCCTCCTCTCTGTCCCCTCTACAAAGCCCACCTTAACATTATATAGGCCACTCTCAAAACCGCCCATAACTGCCCACTAAGATGAAGGATGACATCTCCATCCACCTAGGGTCGTGCTGGCACCCTCTAAATGTGCCATCACTATAATGCAGTTGACAAGCCCAACTGCTAGACTTGTTGGCATGTTCTGCTCATGCGACATAACCACAAGAAGTTACATTCTGCATAGTGGAAGAAACCACCCTTAACCGCCTGTGTGTTGGTCCTCTCAGAATTGTGCCACATGCTTGGGAGGTTACTCAGCACTCCCCCACTTCCCATGATGAGTAGGAAGTGCTAGTAACTTCCCCCAACCGACCGAGCCCACTAAGCCACCACCTCTTTTAACCGTAAGCCATGACTTTGTGTTGTCTATATTTTAGCCACATCTGAGTCAACCTTGTAAACCTAGCCTAAGACAAGTCCACCAATCTGCACCCACATATATATGTCTCTGAGTGCACGGCGTGCCAAGCCATGCACGCCCATGCGCACGCTCGGGTGCACGCCGGCGCACACACCAATGCCCTTCTACGCGCGCCATGTTTGAACCCTCATGCGTCCGTGGCTGTACGCCTGCCTGGACGCCCATGCGCACGCTGTGCTAGATGCTTGTGCACACTAGGTTGGACTCCTGCCCGCGCGCCCACCTGCACACTCGCACGCGCCCCGCTACACATTAGCTCGCGTGTCGGTGCCCACTTGTTTGCCCTTCAATATCTTAGATGCTCCCCACTTGTGCAACCATCTTGGAGTGGTGCAACACGTGCCCATGCACGTTGGCTAAGCCCTCTAAGCAAGCCATGCCATAGCCCAACCGATGTGCTCAACGGACCTCTCCCTAGTATAGTCTTAAGGAAATCCAGCACTCTGACAGGAGTAGACATCACCCATGCTTGAGGAGTCATAATGGCCTTTTAGGCCTTTCCCGACATCCAAATTGAGTGCCGTCTGCGCCAACCAGCTTCTATGGACTCAAGGTACCTCCCATAAAGATCCCGAGTCAAAACTCCAAGTTTCACTTTTCGCCATATTTACGAAAGTGCCACTAGGCACCCCCAGTGCACGCCGAGCATCCTTTTAAGCATCCTGTGTGCACGCTGAGCATCTTGTGCACACTGACAACCCACTGAGCATCCTCATGGCTGTCTAACCAAAGCCAAAGTATTCCCAAGACATGGCATGGCCTTAAAATGCCCATGTCTTCCCTTGGACAACCGTCAAGGGGCTAACAGAAGGCCACTATAGGCATTGGAACCATGTAAGTTTACATTCCTATAAGTAAACCACTTTTGAAAATCTCCCTGAATATGGAATTAAAAAAGAAGAAATTAAAACCCTAGCAATTGATTGGTAATTAAAGGATCCAAATTTCCGAAAACGAAAAATGGAGAATCAAAGAGACTATTAAGCAATTATAGTTTGTTACTAGTCACTTCTTCAATGGCCGAAATAGGGACCAGTTTCTTTACTGACCTAGAGTAAGTAATGACCGAATTTAAAAAATAATTGGTCATTTAAAATTAAATAATTTCTTCACTATCATTTTTTTTTTAAATTATGTTTTTTTTATTACTTTTTTTTTTTTTTTTTAATGTCTGGATGATTAGCTAGCTGGACCAAATAGTATTTGAATATAAAATTAAATTGTCACTCATTCACATTTGTTTTTAAAAACTTTGGTCATTGATTTATGCTTCCTTCGTTAGAAAGGAAAAAAATTGAATAGAAGGGAAGAACAAGACATTCCTAGGGAAGAGATTATGAATTTCCCTCATTTTGTTCGGTTGGATGAAGAGGAGAAAATAACCTAACAAATTCCTTTGTTTGTTACGAGAGAAGGGAAGAGAGAATTTAAAATTATTTTTATCATTATACCTTTCATTATTTTTTTTTTCCTGTAAATAGCCATCATCTTTACTACTCATTTGAATAGTACCATTAATTTCACTCTAATTTATTGTTTGCTTTATTAATATATACATATATAAATACTGTTTTCGAATTAGGTGTGAACATGGAGTTTTTTTGTTCTAAATATGTTCTAAAAAAATGCATTACGACATTGTATGGTTCTTTACGTAGACTGTGTATTTTTTTTTCTAATAAGGCAATTATATAACAAACAATATATATATATAGCTCTATGTATATGTACAAGTAAGAGAGAGAGCTGGAGAGAGCGTTTTGGGTGAGATGATGTGTACGGTTTAATTTTAATTAATATTTGGGAAGGATAATATTGTAATTTAGTATTTTTATAATAGCTCAACTTGTTTTCTCTCATATCTTCCGCCCAAATTTGGATGAATGAAATTTTGTAAAAGAGGACTTTTCCTCCTATTTTTCTTTTACTTCTCTTCCTTCCTTCCTACCGAACAAATTTTTTTTTTTCAATTTTGTTCAGTAAAATCTATTTTTTCATCATTTTGAATTGCAATTACAGCAACACTTGCCATTAACGACAAACTATGCTTGCTTATTATATTAGAGATTTTTTTTTTTTTTTGTTAATACATAGATTCGATGTTAATTGTGTTTTCTATTCTTAACAAATTGCCAAAAATAAAAATTTTCAATTTCCGCATTTGAGGTCAAACATTTGGTTGAAAACCTAAAATTGATACAAAATTTAACATACGAGTAGAAAAAAATAAAATTTACCTGAATCTTTTTAGATTGAATTGTATTGTCCAAACAAAGAATTCTCCCAACTAATGAAAATCAAAAATTAATTTTTACGGGCGTGTTTTTGCAACATTGCATGTGATCTGAGTCACTTATGGATAGTACAATATATAGATTTCAGTCATATGATATATTACACAAAAATATATCACGGCAATTAAAAAATTTATGACACGCCCGAATTAATTAACATTCAATACTCAATTTTATATCAAAAAATTACGACCTTGCACAGCCAGATCTATATTGGAAAAATCGAGAAGTACTTGTAGTGTAAACCAATTTATCCCTACACTTTTTGATTTTTTGAAAAAAAGGTCCAAACATTCTAAAAAATACTGTAATATAAATCAATAATTAAGTATAAAAGATGTGGGTTACTAAGATATAGGCTTATAGCTAATTCTGCATCATTAAGTATGTAATTATCATCAACAAAAAAAAAAAACTCCCTATAACCACATGTGTAACGGGTAGGTGCTTACCCATTTATTAAAAAACTCAAATTGTTGAGTAGTGTTGCGTACCCATCTATTTATACCCAATCACTTTCTCATCCAGATCCGATTTGGGACAAATGATTCTTTGTTACATGCTCCCCCAACTAAACTTGTAATGCCCTCGTTGCGGCTTGATCCACCCTGCCTATTTGGGCTGGCTCACCCGGATACCTTTCGGGCCGGATGCTTGGCGTGGCACCGAATCAAGGATTGAGTTTGACTCTAATACTAACAGTAATGGGTGGATGCTTACCCATTAACCTAAAAGCTCAAGTTGTCGGGTAGTGCTGCATAATTACTCATTTGTACCCAATCATTTTTCCATTCAGATCCGATGTGAGATAAACAATCCTTGTTTATAACATGTTAGTACGCAGCGTGAGAGTAAACAATTTGTCAGATTATTCATCTAAAAAAATTGAACATATGGAAAGAAGAATAAAAATAAGAAATGAAATGAAAATTTTGTTGGTCCCTTTCCTTCTTATCCTCCATCATTTTGGGGGTGCTTTGTTGTTGTAGTTAGCATATATCAATGACTACAGCTGGTTCAGTGGAAGAGACAGCATGGAGAGATGCTCTACAAAGAGGACAACTTGACTGAGTGGTGAGCCACTTATCTACACACACACAATGGTAAGTATGGTGACATTCAGGCAACACCTTAACCATCTCTTCATCTTGAAACACCCCTAGACATATCGAGCACTCGGCGGCCATGTCTTCAACAACATTCTTGACAGTAGTAGTAGTAGTGTTGGTGGCCATCATGTTGCAAGTTTTAGTGGCCAAATCTTTGTGCAGGCAAATGGGAAAGCTGTGGATTGTGGCAGCGTCGAGCCCATCTGACTGACTCCTTATTGCAATGGCTAGTGACACTGGGCTCAAGGCTGTGGCCGTGTTTGCAGAAGAAATATGGCGAAAGAAGAAATGGTAGTATATGTATAGGGAGGGAAAAAGGATGACAAAGCAGAAGAAAATGACTAGGAGGAGGATGCTTTGGATGTGGAAATGGAAGGTGTAGTAGAGATCAGTTAAGTGCCAGTGAAATGGTTCAAAGTCTGTAAAGGCCATAGCTAGCTAGAGAGTTTTGTTATTATATTTGGTGGTGATGGTGGTGGTGGTGTTGTGATTTTGGAGTTGAATGAGATGGAAATGAAAATGAAGTGAATATTGTGAATGTATTATATATATATATGTATTGGCTTTGTATACAACAATCTATAGTACTAGTTGTTGCACACATAGAGCTTCGTTTGCTTCTCCTAAGTTGTGAGCTAACTTGTTACTAGTACTATTTACGGAAATAAAGCACACATATATATAGATTTGCTTGACCTAAAGTTGATTTGTTCGACCTAAGTTGTGTGCTAACTGATTACTATTTTTGTAAATAAAACCTATTGTCAAGTGCCAACTCACTTTTAGGTATCACCTCTTTCTTTCTCTAAAGTGAAGAAAGTAGGTCTGTCTTTGGATATTTGAAGTAATTACGTATGTGTTGTCTTACTTACTTTAATGACAATTTTGCTTTTAAAGTGACTCTCAATTTTACATTCTGAAATAATGATTTAACACAATGCTGTAAGGGTAATTTAGTCTTTTTAAAAATTTTTAGAGATATTGTTTGGTGACAATGCATGTACATTTCCCTGAAAGAAAGTCAAGGACTAAATTTAATGATCTTTCCGTTAGGTTGCGTTGGACTGGGTTGAATGATTATTTGGTACAGCACGATATTTGGAATACAAAGTCAAACTATTTATTTTTAATAAATAAAAAGAAAATAAAGAAGGGGAGAGAAGATTTTATTCTGTTCAACATATAGTCAAAAGTCCAAACTTATCACACAAAAATCTTTAATTTCTTTTTTATTTAGATTTTTATAATTTTAAAGTCACAATTCTAAATTTTAATGATAAATTATACTGATTCTAATTTTGTTAATATGTACTGACCTTTTCTCTTGTTTATCAAATTATACTTATTTTTCTTAAAATTTATATGTAAATAACACATACCTCCACTTTGTTAACAGTCGATGCAATTAACAATAAAAAATATTAATTTCAGCATTTTGTAACTTTTAAATTTTATTTGTACTTTTGGAATACATGTTTATTGCCATAAAATACAATACACATATAAGAACATAAACATAATTATAAATCTGAGTGAAGGTTAGTAAGAGGGAAGGTCGGTGTATATTTATGAAACTTCAAAAGAGATTACATGTTTGGCACCGTAAATCCAAATTGATATTGTCAATTTCGACCTAACCTGAATTTAGTATTCAAATGAAATTCTTGTTTAATATATTTTAATAAGGAACCGTGCAAAAAACTTATTTGAGCTTTATACGGAATTGGGATTGATGTTCAGTGTTAGCGTCACATTTAGATGTTATAGTTGTCGAATCAAAGTGATGGAATGTGAAATGTCCAGATATTTCTTCTATAATCTAACTTAGTTTGTTTTTTTCTTAGTTAGGTGTTGATTTAGTTTGTTTTTTTCTCAATTAGGTGTTGATATTTTAATTCTATTTTTATGTTTGATTTGTTCACATGGTCCTTTTGATGTATGTATATATTAATAGTACAATTATAATAATAACATAGCTTGTATGTGACTACAAGTTGTTGAAGTCTATTCTTTTGATATTATGTAAATTGGTCACTTACATCAACCAGTCTCATGAGAACATTTGTAATTTTTAAAAAGATGTGCAAATTAAGTATCCATTATTCGGTTAAAATTCAAATAAAGTAAAAGGAAAAATATGCCGAGAGAGTTAAAACTACAATTATGCCCTTATATCTTTTTCTTGATTGCAATCCTTCACTAGAGTCTACCAAATTTTAGAAACAAAGGATTAATCTATGAAAATGAGTAATAGGTTTTCTTCCAGCTGGTACTCTAATGAATTACATCTTAGTTATGGTATCCTTTTGTAATTGTCAGCGGGTTTTGATCCTTATGCTTTCAGTGGAGCCCATCAGAGGCTTCTTCATCCTTTGGGCCAATCAACCGGAACAAAAAACACATTCGCTTGGATGTCAAACGGTGATTGCCAACAAAAAGAACTCCCAATGGTATGATCTCTTCGTTGAGTCTCACTCTCACCCGGACATATTGTGGATAACGAGTGCAAAGTTAGAACACAGAATTTTTAAAAAATTAATTGAAGAGAATAGTGAACGTTTAATTTTTTTAAGCTACAAATTGAGTGAGGCTAGAACGGACGCGCGGGGTGGAAAAATATGGAGAGTCCTCTGCTAAACCTTTTTGGATGCAGATTTACTTGCTCTGCTATACATTTCAGTATAAATTTCATTTTACAAAGTCCAAGTATAAAAACAGAGATGACAGTCCCAGGAAAGCGTGGAACTCTATCCGACTCAAAACCGCTCTAACTCACCTAATGTGCAGACAATTGAACCAACAAGAACCAAAAAATAACCTAAAAAGTTGGTTCAACGATGTATGAGTTGAAAACTCATAGAATTTCAAGCACTCTACAAAACTGTTTTGAAGAAATCCAGAGCAGCGGCTACAGTCTGAGTGGTTTCATGCGTGGATGACATTGAATACCAACAAATCAGCATGACAATTGGCCAGGTGGGCTTAATCATCCTTCAATCTCTTGAGAAGTTTTGAAGCCCAGCGTCGGACACGGCGCTTCAGTGTATAACCAACAACTACTCCGGCAACAAAGCAAACCGCACAAAGTTTTGAGCAGGTCCAGAGGGATAACACTCGCCTGCAATTACATACATGCAGCTCAATCAAAAGAATATTTACCGTGCTGCAATTTGCCCCTGCCACTTTTCGAACAAATGTTTGGGGGAAAAAAAAAACGTATAACTAATAACTATACAAAAAAGATGAAAATTTTGAATGAGGGCAATTTCCTTTCCTTGATAGAAGTGTTTTCCGCTTTAATTTATTTTAGAATCGTATAAACCCAACCAGACTAAATATGACAAATAACACACTTACTCAGCAAAAACGGATAATGACACATGCTAATTGTGCCAAACCCGCTATAACACATCACATCAAAAGTCACGTCGCGTAATTTTTGTCGTTTATGCACCCAACAATCTAGCAGGTTGACTACTAGCTTTTCAACCCTCAAAACGGCAGTAGATAATTTTAGTGCTAGACCCAGATCATGTTCACCTTCCAGTGCAATCAAGCACAACTCCGTGGTCCATCCTACGACTGCAAGTGGTAGCACCCTGAGACCCCTATACCAAGTAAGAAAACTAGAAAGCCAATGCATGACTTCTTTTCCTACAAATAATAGAAGCTTCTACAACCTACACCAATGTAATAGCAGAATCTACAAAGACTACGGACACTAACATTCTGCTTATCAACTGTTTGTTAATACAAGGGACTTGTTACCACATGACCAACCACAGTACAGTTGTTGGTCATGTGGTGGGTTATTTGTCATATGCGGTCGGGTTGGATTTAACAATGGTTTTGAATTGAATAGAATATAAATCCGCATCTTGTGCATGCCAATATTAGAATTAGAATCACAATGATTACATCTAAAAAGAGTTGGACTGTTCATTGACAGAACATGACTCCACTAGTTCAAGCTTGTTTGTTAAATCTTTAAAGCTAAGGAGACGAGCTCAAGCCTAATTCAGAAGCTCGATTATTTAACAAACAAGCCTGAGTAACACCAAGCTCTGCAGAGGCAGAGCTCGGGTGGTCACCACAATAAGCCTGTCTTTCAGTTATACGGTTTTTAGTTCAGTCATGTTTTTGGACACTATGTTACATATACTATAATAAGATCTTCAGTCGTCAATACGTAAATATGTATATATTTAAAAGTAATATAGTAGCTCTAGACTCCACTTTCGATAAATTTTATCACTATATCATTCCTGGAAATTTTAAAGGGCAAGAGATTAAGAGAAGTGGAAGGAAGAGAGAGAGAGAGAGAGAGAGAGAGAGAGACTTAAGGGGCTATCATTTCTGGTTAAAAAAACAAGGTACTGCCACCTGTTCATCTATTCTTCTCCAACGCTCCTTCACTGGAAGATGGTTTGTCGAAGGAGGAAGATAAAGAAGAAGCGACCAATTTAGGGTCTTGAGAAATTGTACGGAACACTTTCTTTAATCCCTCCATCAAAATTATCAAATTAACACTCAATCGCTGAAATCCAAACTCAATTCAAAGAAGATCAAGCCCTCTACACGATTCACTGGTAGATCGATGAATGTCTTAAACCCACTCCATTTGGGGGGGGGGGGGGGGGGGGGGGGGGGGTGTTAGGGCTTTTATTTCAATCAAGGCGTCAGCCAAGGTCCAACCTATTTCGTTGATGGAACAGACTGTATTTATGGGCAAATTATAGAACACACTCCCCTAAATTTTGTGAAATTACACTAGACTCTGGTGTCCGGTTAAAAAAAAGTTACCACTTCTTGTCTTTCATAGTAAATTTTGACTTTTAAAATTTATCATTAGTATAAATAAAAAAAGGGAAGGCGATATGTACACTCCATTTTTTAACATTTGTACTATAATTTTAAATTAAATAAAAATTCTAACCTTAATATGAAATGGGAGGCAATATGTACACCCCACTTTTTAACATTTACACTATAATCTTAAATGAAATGACAATTCTAACCTTATTTTTACAAGTAAATAATTATTACTTTTTAAATAATACAGCTGTCCTTTCATTTTTTCTCTCCTTATCTATAGTCTTTAATATTTTAAGTATCTTTTGACAACACGAATAAAATAAAATAAAATTTGAATAATTTTTTTTAAGGGACCAAAATAAATTAAAATTTTGTTATGTTCAATAAATTGCCTTTTTGGCCAGATAAAAAAAATAAAAAATAACCATTTAAAAAATTATCTTTTTTGACATGAAGAAAAAAAAAACTCAAAAAAATATATTTATTGAATAAATTATCTCTATTGTCAAGATCCTAAAAAAATAATAATAAAAGTAAAAAAAAAAAAAAAAAAGTCACTATGGAATAAATTATCCCTTTTGACTAATAAAAATAAAATTATTAATATAGAATAAATCATTTTCTTTGAGAGGACCTTTGAAAAGAACAAAAGGAAAGGAAAAAAAATAGTAAAGAAAATAGTAAAGGAAGTAAAGAAGGTAAAAAAAAAAAAAAAAAAAAAAAATTACAGAAAAAAAATTATTAATATAGAATAAATTATTTTCTTTGAGAGGACCTTTGAAAAGAACAAAAAGAAAGGAAAATAAAATAGTAAAGAAAGTAAAGAAAATAGTAAAGGAAGTAAAGAGGGTAAAAAAAAAAAAAAATTACAATTGTATAAAGGGTAGTTATGACATTATAAATTTAAGGAATTGTGCATTAATGAATTCAAAGACTTTCTTGTCCTTTTCCTTAAAAGAAAATGATAAATGTAATGTAATTGAAGAAAAATGGAGTGCCAATATCGTTTCCCAAAAAATATAAAATAAGAATTGAATAAAATTGAATAAAAGATTCATTTCTTAGTCTTGATGATTGTTACTCGATTTGTGTGTTAATTTGAGGTCGGTTGTGCCCATTTAATTGATTTTGCTAAGATAACAACATATTTGGTGCCAGTTTCACTCAAAAGATGCTAGAGTTGACTCGATTTACATGATTATCTTATTTAATGTGTGGAGGACCATATTTGTATGTTTAATGTTAGAATTTTGGAAATTGCTTAGAAATAATTGAAAAATGGCGTACTTGAAGTAGTTTTCTTTCAACACTTGTGTGGAAAATATTTCGTATTTCTTAAGTGAGAAAGAGCTTGATGTTTGTGGTTATCATTTCTAGAAACCATCACGAGATTTCGCTTGTCCTTTAGGGGTAACTTAGAGGTTTAAAAGGTTTGTTGCATATGATAAATGTAATCGTAATACCTACGAAAATAGTGTTATACCTTTATTGCTTTATAATTCGTAGTTGTATAGTTGTTTATTTCCTTTTACTTCATAGTTCATTGCTAAGGGACTAGCAATATATAAATTTGGGGATGTGATAAGTGCTGAAATATGCACATTTCAGCCCTAATCTCAGGTATTTTAGACCTTTCATCTATCATTACTTCCCCGTTTTAGTTATAATTTGTGTTTTTTTCAATTTCAGGTCAATAACGCTCAAAAGGACTAAAATCAGTTCAGTTTTCTTTTTGGAGTCAAGCAAATGCAGCGGGAAAAAGTTCCAAAAATTGACCAGGAATAGTGCCACGATCGATCGCAGCCACGTCAGCAGATAAGATCAACCAGCTAGCAAATTGTGATCGATCCTACTCAAGTTGCGATTTATTGCACTTGAGTTGCGATCGATCGTAACTTATGCTGAGAGCAATTTTTAATCTCGGTTTTGGCTCGAACTTCACCAACTAAGGGGTTGCGAGATTGCATCATTTGGGGGTACATTATTGACCCATTTCTACTCCAAGGGACAACTATAAAAGGGGAATTAAGCCATCTTTACAAGGGTTACCAAGTTAGATAGTTAGCTATCATTTTACAAAGTAGAGATTAGAAGAGCAAAGGAAGAAAATTTCTAGATACATTCTCTCTCTAGGGTTTCAAGCAAGAAGAAGAAGAGGAAGATGAAGCCATGCTTCTAAAAAAATTTGAGAACAATGAATTAAACAAATTCTAGACTGTAATCCTGAAAAAGAAAAAAACTTTAAAATAAAAAGTGTTAAAATTAAATATATAGTAAACTCAGCATACAATTTTAGGGCAAAGCTTGTGCTTTATTCCCTGAATCAGCAGGGATGACACTGAGTTTCCACCAAAAATAATTTAAATGAATTTTTGCTCTTTAGTTCTAGTTAGTAGTTACTTCAAAACAAACAAACAAATAAATAAAAATTAAAAAATGGAAAGATTTTGTTACTGTTTAGTCCCAAAAATAAAATAAATTTTAGATGTTATCCAGTTCCCACCGAACTAAATTTGTGGCAAGTGTTGATTAGTTAGACATGTGAAAGGCCTTATTCCTCACTAATTATAAAAGATTAAAATTTTCTCGTCAGTGCAAGAAATTTAGTACAGTAGTATTTTGAAATGCTTAAAAAACTACATCCTCTTGATATGAGAAGTGGTGTTAACAAAGTAAAATTGGTGTTAACAAAGTAATGCAATCTGAAATTAAAAGTGATGCAATTGTTATTTTTTAAACTTTTTAATACAGGCAAATTAGGGAAGGGATTCATAACCAATTAGGTCATTAAATAATAGTCAATATAATAGAAATTTCAAATTAGTCAATCAAAATAAAAGACCTTTCACTTGGTGGATTCACATGGCACATTATGTGCCATTGGATGTGCAAAGTGGCCAACTAAGATTTCTCGGATTAAAAGGTAATTTTAAATATATATATATATATATAAAATAAAATATATCAATCTCACAACATATGCACCACAATTCAAACGTTAAATATCGAAATCCCCGTCTATGACCCCAGTACAATTTAACCCACTAAAAAACACCTCTTTTGTAAATGTATCACTGTAGTAGAACCATAATCGGGAAGTTGAGGTCAGCAATCCGCCACGCCCAAAACCCAATCTATCCCCATAAATTTCTGTAGAGCAATAGGCTCTCTCCACATCTCCCGTCTTTCTCAACAACACAACTCTATTCTTACTTTTAATAACACAAGAAACTAACACAACTAACACTTGATCCTCTACCCAAATCCCCACCTTCTCTCTCTCTCTCTCTCTCTCTCTCTCTCTATACCACTAATGGCTTCCCTCTCTCTCTCCAAGCACTCTCTCCCCTCTCTACTTCCCAACCAAACCCCTAAAACCTCATTTTCTCATAACCTCTCAATTCTCCCCAAATCATCACAATCCGAGTTTTGTGGACTCAAACTCCCTTATGCTACTTCCCTCTCAATCCCATCTTCTTCACTACTCAAGAGTTCCATTTTTGCCAAGGTATATAATTAACTACATTTGGTTGCTTCGATTTATTGCCTTGCTTTTTTTTGTAGAATAATTATATTATCTGTAATATCTATTATCATTATCATGGATGGTAATGTATTTGATTGTTTGTGTTAATTTGTTCTCTTTAAAGGTGAACAAAGGTGGGTGCCTCCATCATTTACATTGAAAGATCAGGATGGAAAGACTGTGAGCCTCTCCAAATTCAAAGGCAAGCCTGTTGTTGTCTATTTCTACCCTGCTGACGAAAGCCCTGGTTGCACCAAACGGGTCAAATCTCTTTCTTTTTTATTTTTATTTTTATTTTTTTTCATAATAGAATTAAAAATTATTTATTTTATGAATATATATTTTTATTAACAAATGATCCATTATATCATGGATTTGTAGTCACATATATTTTATTTGCATACAAATCTTAAGAAAAATAAGTGTAATTTGATAAATAAGAGAAAAAGGTCAGTACACATTAACAAAATTAGGGTCAGTGTAATTTACCATTGAAATTTTGAATTGTGACTTTAAAATTATAAAAATTTAAATGCAAAAGAAATTAAAGATTTGATCCATGATATGATTGATCATTTGTTCATAAAAAGGACCATGTGAACAAATCAAACATAAAAATAGAATTAAAATATCATCCTTTTTATGATGGATCATTTGTTTGATTTGATTTGATTCATGATATGATAGATCATTTGTTCATAAAAAGAGCCATATGAACAAATCAAACATAAAAATAGAATTAAAATATCATCCTTTTTATGATGGATCATTTGTTCTTATTCATAAAAAGGACCATGTGAACAAATCAAACATAAATATATAATTAAAAATATACATATATTTTTATGAACAAATGATCCATTATATCATGATCAACTTGTAGTCACATATATTTTATTTGCATACAAATTTTAAGAAAAATAAGTGTAATTTGATAAATAAGATGAAAGGTCAGTACGTATTAACAAAATTAGGGTCAGTGTAATTTACCATTGAAATTTTGAATTGTGACTCTAAAATTATAAAAATCTAAATAAAAAAGAAATTAAAGATTTTTGTGTGATAAGTTTCGACTTTTGATTATTTGCTAAACAGAATGAAAACTTCTCTCCCCTTCTTTATTTTCTTTTTATTTACTAAAAATAAATAGTTTGACTTCGTATTCCAAATATTAGTGCTTTACCAAATAATCATTCAACCCAGTCCAAAGCAACTATCCAACCTAATCCATTACTTTTGGATGCTTCCTAACGGAAAGGTCATTGAATTAGTCCTTGACTTTCTTCATAGAAAATGTACATGCATCATCACCAAACAAAATCACTAAAAAGGAAAATACATCGTAATCTTTAAAAAGACTAAATTACCCCTGCAGCATTTTGTTAAATCATTATTTCAGAATGTAAAATTGAGAGTAGCTTTAAGTGCAAAACTGTCATTAGAGTAAGTAAAACAACACATACCTAATTACTTCAAATATCCAAAGAGAGACCTAATTTCTTCACTTTAAAGAAAGAAAGAGGTGACACCTAAAAGTGAGTTGGCACTTGGCACTAGGCTTTATTTACAAAAATAGTAATCAGCACAACTTAGGTGAAGCAAATGAATTGTACTATTAAATAGAAATGATGGTCCTTCCTAATTAATCCTAACCTACTCTGCATTATTTTGTTTTTCAAATTTAATGTTAAAGCAGTTAGTCGGCTTTCAGAGGGCCCACATGAAAGATGATAATAACAAATGTTTGTTGAAAGGTTGGTCATCTGACCAACTTGAGTACCTCGGTATATTTCTCAGCCCAAATTTGTGTCTCATGACACATGTTTTTTTGTACCATATCGGACTGGGGGTTCTGCCTTGTAAGTTGTAGCTAAAAATAATGGTAGTGGACTAGTGGGAGTAATTTAACATTTACATGTAATTGGGTAGACAAATGTTTTTAAAGCCTACGTAAAATTCATGTCATCTAATCAGTTTTAGCAATTGAAATGGTAAAGTGAAAAAAGAAAGGAAAAAAAAAAAAATTTTGTGTATGTAATTTACTTATTTTGAACAAAGTGATATGAATTAAAATCCAATTCACACCATATTCATTACATATCTCTTTCATTGCTAGCTGGTATGTCTAGCTTCTAAGAAGGCAATGACTCCATATATGTCCCTCTCTTCATCCTTCTTCTAGAAATCAATCATTGTACATGTTGGAATTTGATGTTACACAAATTTGGGATTAATTTAAATGCAATGAAAGAGATGTGTAATGAATATGGTGTGAATTGGATTTTAATTCATATCAGTCCTTCACCTGTCTCTTCACTAGCTAGCTTGCGAAAGAGACCAACTACTTTTAATCAGACTCACGATGTGATGTGAGTGTTACTGTCTCCGTGTTTCAGTCCACTCATTCTCTTTCTTTACAGAGTAATAATATTATGAGACCTTTCTCATAACAATTCTCACGAACTCTTTTATTTTTTATATTATGATTGTATATAAATATAGAGGAGAGAGTTTAACTCTTTGAAAGATAATTGTATAAAGATTATATAATTAAAATTTCGTACCAAAATTCATCACTTGAAACAATCAAAGTTTTACACACTCTTTGTTTTGATCGAATTACACTATTAACTTTGACCGTCTCATATACTTTTTTTATTGTATTTTGAACTGATCTGTTTACGGTAGGACTGCAACTCGGGTGGGTTTGACGTATGAAAACACGCCATGATATACAAGATCTTGAAAGTACAGGGAAATTCAACATCTCCTTTAATTAACAAGCTTAAGAATCCATATATGAATGGAAGGAAATTTCCCCACTATAACTAACCAATTTCACATAATACTACAATAATACATTAATGTATTAACAAGAGAAATGGTAATATTTCACATAATACTACAATAATACATAAAGTATTAGGTTGTTATCATGACGGATGTCGTGACCTAGCTTAGTTTTGGCTTGTCTGGGGTTGGTTGTTTTGTCAGTTTACTGTGGGTCTTCGTGGTACATGATATTTGTATGAGCTTGGTGATTGCTTTGTAAGTGCAGTCGGGCAGGTTTTTTTGCCAGGGTACCAAAAAAAAAAATAATAATAATATATATATGGTCATCATCAATAACTCAACTTTCACTTCTCTCTCTCTCCATCTTTTTCTCTCTCTAACTCTTCAAGTCAATTCACGCGCTAGATCTTATAACCAGTTCATGCACTACTTCTAGATCTATAAATACACATCCATTTACGTTGAAGGACAATATCTCTCTTAAGCAAAAGTCTCACATGCATACTCAACTATGGTGTTGTTCTCTAAAATTGGCATTGTTGGAGCTGGCATAAGCGGTATTTCCGCCGCTAAACAGCTGGCCAAACACCACCCAGTGTTGTTTGAGGCCACTGACTGCCTTGGAGGGGTCTGGAAACATTCTTCTTTCAAGTCTACTAAGCTTCAGACCCCTCGTTGTGATTATGAGTTTTTGGATTATCCTTGGCCTAATAGGGATAATTCGAGTTTTCATCTAATTTAGAGATATTGGATTACTTATATTCTTATGCTACCTACTTTGATTTGCTCAAGTTCAACTCAAAGGTGGTAGAAATCCGGTTTGTTGGTGATCGTGAAACCTCCGATCTGGTGGTAAGCCGGGAGAATATGCAACTTTGCTGACTGGCCAGCCGGTATGGGAGTTTGCTGTCCAGGACTCAAACTCTCTTATGCTACTTCTCTCTCAATCCCATCTTCTTCTACTTCTTCACTACTCAAGAGTTCCATTTTTGCCAAGGTAATTAACTATAACTACATTTGGTTGCTTCTATTTATTGCCTTGCTTTTATTGTAGAATAATTATATTATCTGTAATATCTATCATATCATTATCATGGATGGTAATGTATTTGATTGTTTGTGTTTATTTGTTCTCTTTAAAGGTGAACAAAGGTGGGGTGCCTCCATCATTTACATTGAAAGATCAGGATGGAAAGACTGTGAGCCTCTCCAAATTCAAAGGCGAGCCTTTGTTGTCTATTTCTACCCTGCTGATGAAACCCTGGTTGCACCAAACAGGTCAAATCTCCTTTTTTTATTGCTTCCCATTTCATAATTCTTTTCTTTATAATCAATGTGATTGTGTTGATCTAATTTCAGGACAACAATCACATAATATAGTTATCAAATCATTCTAAAAAAATGTCCAGATATACTCATCTGCATCTTAATTTGTCCCAATTTAATACAAATATCCAGAATGCTAGTATGTTATGCACCTATTCTGTAAATGATTTTTTTTTTTCCCAGATGTTTCTGAAATTTGTCAACTGTTACGCTCAATTTGAAATGACAACATGTCCTTCATATTGACTGCTCTTTACTCTCCGGGTCATTCTTGAATTGTTTGTAAGCGAATCACTGTCAATATTTTTCTAAGTACATCTTAGGAAATACATTATGCAACATTGGTTTGGTTAGAAAATAGAAGGCGTGAAAGGAGGAGTGTTGAGTTGATTAAGTGAATACCCAAACAGATTACTTGATAATTCAGAAGTTAACAACTTTGAAACTCTTCACAGGCATGTGCTTTCAGGGATTCCTATGAAAAGTTTAAGAAAGGAGGAGCTGAGGTTGTCGGAATAAAGAAGGATGATCCATCATCACAGAAGGTAATGCAAAACATCTTGCCATTGACACATTCTAAGCAATAGATAGGATGAAATTTAACCTCTAGTCCCTGCACCCGAAGGTTACAATTATAATTGTATGACTTTGCAGTATATTGTTCAACGATTTAAAGGCATCCAGAGACAACTGCTCTCTGTACTTGATTGTGTAGGAATTAGGCTTATTGATGTAATTAACATACTTGCTTTTCCTTATTTAGTAGGTAAGATTTAAACTTGTTATCTGCTGAAGATATCATTGGTCAAAAAATGATATGGTCAAGTAGTTTGAAACACGTGTCAGACTAGCATTATAAACTTTATGCCTAAGAGTGACTAAACAAACTTAAGCGCCTGTTAATTGCATAATTTCATTGACTGAAAACTGAATAATGTAATAGAAATAATTATTTATGCACCTTGAGCTTGTTACCATGTGATATTGGTTCAATATTTCTGGGGTCATTTTTTTAGAATGGAAGCTGCTTCATTTTTTCAATCTATTTGACCTATCCATTATCTGTTCTGAAATCAATTATAATAGTTAGCTTGTGCGTTTTGAGCCAATTACCTTCTTCCAATTATGAAGCTCGTCGTGTGTTGTTCACGCGTGAGCTTATTTAAGACTCTTGTTAATTTTTCCTATATTTTTGACATAGCCATTCAATTACTATACTGAAATTGACAACGTTAGCTAGCTGTGCAATTTGAGGTAGTTAACTGCTTATAAATTTATAATTATAAAACTCATATTATATCGGTCAAGCTTGAGATTTTTTTGACTATGATTCAGTTGTTGAAATTTATTCCCGTTTTTGAACCGTGCCTTTCAATCACTTCTTGAGAAATTTCTACATGGAAGCTCCTTTGGTGGGTTGCATTTTGTCATATTATGGTCCACAGGGGACTTCTGCGGTTGTGACAAATAAAACCATAATGGCTACGAATTCCATGAGATGGTTTTATTTCTTGACTTTCTTCTGATTGAGTGGTTTATAATTAGCTTGTGACAATTACCAAACATGCTTGTGGCTTACAAAAATGTTTGAATGGATGAAGGCGATTGCGAAAAATACAGACTTCCATACACAATGCTGAGTGATGAGGGTAACAAGGTCAGAAAATAGTGGGGTGTGCCATCGGATCTGTTTGGAACCTTGCCTGAAGACAGACCTATGTTCTTGACAAGAAGGGGGTGGTTCAACTCATCTACAACAACCGGTTCCAACCCGAAAAGCATATTGACGAAACCCTAAAGATACTTCAAAGTATTTGAGTCCTTAAGTTAGATTCTCAATCCAATGCGTGCTTTTATTTTTGTGATAAAAGATTTCTCTCTAAAGGTAGGGACAAAAGCATGCATTTGGTATCATTGTTTCATTTTTCTTGTTCATAATCTTGACTACTGTAAGGGCTACATGCTTCTGCCAACCAGTTCTTTTTCTTTTTTAGTTAAAAGGTAAGCTTTTTATGTAAGAGAAGGAATGTACAGAGAGCCCCCACAATAGAGGGAAAAGACATGAAGCAACACAAGAAGCACACCCAATGAGAACAAATGAAACCCAAAGAGCAGGACTATATCCCAAAAATCAACAGACAACTCAAAATAGCTGGTGCACACATGACTAAGAGAGAATGGAGCTTAGTAATTAATCACACTTAATAATATCCCACACCACACAACTTCCTTGAAGTAATAATCATATGACAATTCAATCCGTGAGCAGCCAAGATTGACATCCTGCAAAAGCACATCCATCCAAAAATCATCTTTTGAAGGTCATCAAATGAACTTATCTGGTTCATCTCCACACTATTCTTTAGTACCAGTTCTTCTTCCTCCTAGATGTTCATCCTATCTCTTCGCAGATTTCGTTGCTGTGGTTGATACTGAAGGTAGAAATGCAGTGCCTCTTGTAAAACCTGGTTGTCCTCTTCATGATCTCCATCTCTTTAGTTGTTTGTTCGAGCATCTTCTCCACATTGGGAAGCTTGAATTGGTCGTCCACAAGTTCAGCCAGCCATTTGCACCGCAGCTCTGCAGAATGCAGGTTTGAAACACTCTCAATGTAACCCACAAATGCCATGTTCGGAACTAAGGGATGGATTGTGCCCCTGCCAGAAGATCAAATAATTCTTTGAAATTCTTGGACCTGTTTTGTTATGGAAAGTAAAATCATAGCTTTGAGATTATGCCTTACCTGTATAAGGGCATCATACATTCTATCAAGCTACGAGAAGCTTCGGGTAATATAGCTTTGAGCTTTTTCTCCCCATCATATCCAGATGCAAGAACCACCACATTAGGCTCCAACCTAGTGTTGTCTTCGAATTCAACCCCTCCTTCCCAGAACCACCATTTGGATGCTCTTTTTAATGCAATGTTTCCCTTGTCAGACTCATCGAAGTAGTTTTCCGGCAAAATAGCCATTTGACAAGAAGCATAATCTTCCTCAAATGGTTTCAATGCATACTTCTCCAATGGAAGCTTCCACACCAAATAGGACTCAATAATCTTAGACATAGCTCTTTTCTATCATGAACCATTATGAAAATAACAATTAATTATGAGCTCTTAATAATATCAACTCGTTGGAATCCGATAAACAGTGGTGCGTTTAGTAACGAAAAACGTTTCTTGTTTTCTGTTGTCAACCTCTCAAGAGGCAAAACGAAAACAAAAATCGCGGTTAGTAAAATGTTTTTGTTTTTTTATAACAGAAAACGTTTTCAATTTTTGTGAAGAAAAGAGGAAACATAAAAGGGATGTTTCCTATATTTTCGGTACTGTAGCACAGAAACATTTTCACTAATGTTACTACACAGGCACTATTCATTTCAAATAAAATTCATATTATCTGTGTTATATACTAAGTTGCGATTAAATGTTAATAAAAATATATATTTTTAACATAGAATATATTAAATATTGTATATTATTTTTTATTTGATAAAAATATATTTTAATATATAATATATTAAATAATAATGTAAATTATTTTTTGTGACAAAATAATTTTTGATATAGAATTTAATGTTATTAAATTACTAAGCAGTAGATATTTTATATTATTATATATCATATCTATATTATATTATATGTAAATATTAAATTATAATTAATTTACAATATTATAACACAATATATATTTTATTACATATAAGATATATTATTAAATATTTTTTATTCATAATAAATTATCATATGCTAAATATATTATATATCGCATAATAAATGTATACATTATGAATATACATGTATTTATATACATAATTGGTGGAATGTTTTTGTCTTGGTATATCTAATTTTGCACTTGTAATGTATTGGGTATTTTAAAGATTTATAATTTTGAATTAGATTTTCTAGATTTATGACTTTTTGATACTAATGGAAGTAAGTGTCATGGGTTGCTCCCTATGTTCGAAAGTTCGTATTCAAGTCATCTACTCTCCCCCTCATCTCTAATCACTAAGTCCTAAAATTCTTGTCATGAAAAATTAAAATAGAAATGAAAAAACTAAAAAATAAAATAAAAATTTTAAAAATATTATGTACATTTTGTAACAAATATATATGTTATATTACTAAACACGGTTATTGTTTTATGTTTTCAAATTTGTGACAACAACAAGTGTTAATAAATATCATTTCTGCTTTCTATTTTCATTCAAGAAAGCAAAATCATGTTTCTGCTTTCTTAAGCCTGCAAAAACAAAAAACAAAAATGTTACTAAACGCACCCCAGACTAATGGTTGTTTTTATCTTATACGTGTGATGTCATCATAACGTTAACTAAGTTATATTTCTCTAAAATTTTCAACCAAACTTACGCAACTAAGTTAGTATTTCTCTAAAGTTTGAACTATGGTAAAAATCAAAGTAGTAAGTGCCGTTTTAATCACACAACAACTACTTTATAAGATAAGTTAGTAAAGTTTAAATTTTCAACCAAACTTACGAAACTAAGTATTTATCTAAAATTTGTATGATGGATATATCGTATTTCCTAAATTCTTAAATTGTAAAAAATTTAAATAGAAGTACTAAAGGATGAATATAACCCAATTTTACTTTTTTAAGTGTGGGATGGAAGAAGTATGGGCACTAATGATTCAAGTAGAAGTACAATGGTACAAATTAGAAGGGTCCAACAAAGAACTACTGCTACCATATTTGTCTGATGAATAATGGCATTACAATTTACAAATCATTTAGCTCGCATGTTAAGATATTTGGCAGCTAGCAATATTTGTGATTGATAGATACATAGTGTGTTGTATATTCACTCTGTACAATAATAGCAATAGTTTTTTTTTTTTTGTTTGTTAATGATAAATAGCCCAGACAAGGACGGACCATCTTTATAAAAACTAGAAATAGCAATTCATTACATAATTTGCATGTGCATTCTAAATGGTACTAATATGGTCGGGACTATCTTTATGATACTTATATATCTATCTAGATTAAATGTGTTACAACTACAAATTAATTAATTTTTCTTGCTATAATATTTAATCTTGGATTGTTATTATTGGATCTGATTATGTCAAATTATTGCCCTTCAATCCACATCCTACGTAACTATAGAAGAGTCATAACTGCTATAAATGATAAAATATAAAAATATATAAAAAAAAAAAAAAGTCTGAAAATTGTATAAGAGATTAAAGTGTTTCTGCCAAAACTTTGTATAATAATGGAGCTTACATGACTGGCCTCTGATAAATTTGGAGTGAGAGTGATTCGAGTAGAACCCAGTTGTGGGAATCATAGCTCGTGGGTCGCCGAAAAGTCCTTTGGCATTGGGTGGTCCTTCACCGTTCGTCTTCAAGCTCTCGAACTGTCCAGCAACTTTGTAGTCCTATTTGGTGTGGAAGCTTCCATTGAAAAGTATGGATTGAAACCATTTAAGGAAGATTATGCTTCTTGTCAAATGGCCATCTTGCGGGAAAACTTCTTCGATGAGGCTGACAAGGGAAAATTGCATTCAAAAGAGCTTCAAAATGGTGGTTCTGGGCAGGAGGGGTTGAATTCGAAGACAACACTAGGTTGGAGCCTGATGTGGTGGTTCTTGCAACTGGATATGATGGGAAGAAAAAGCTCAAAGCTATATTACCCAAACCTTCTCGTAGCTTGATAGAATGTATGATGCCCCTTATACAGGTAAGGCATAATCTCAAAGCTATGATTTTACTTTCCATAACAAAACAGGTCTAAGAATTTCAAAGAATTATTTGATCTTCTGGCAGGGGCACAATCCATCACTTAGTTCCGAACATGGCATTTGTGGGTTACATTGAGAGTGTTCCAAACCTGCATGCCATTCTGGAGAGCTGCGGTGCAAATGGCTAGCTGAACTTGTGGACGACCAATTCAAGCTTCCCAATGTGGAGAAGATGTTCAAACAGACAACTAGAGAGATGGAGATCATGAAGAGGACAACCAGGCTTTACAAGAGGCACTGCATTCTACCTTCAGTATCAACCACAGTGACGAAATCTGCGAAGAGATGGGATGGACATCTTGGAGGAAGAAGAACTGGTTGGCAGAAGCATTTAGCCCTTACAGTAGTCAAGATTATGAACAAGAAAAATGAAACGATGATACTAAATCTATGCTTTTGTCCCTACCTTTAACTAATAGAGAGGGGGTTGCTTGATGTCAAAATTAAATAAATATATTATACATGTAAAGACCCAGATTGTAATTTCGGATTGTTTATGTTGCACTTGAAAGTGGAGTGGTGGTGGTGCTACGATGGGATTCTGGCCGGAGAATTTGGTGGAGAAGAGAAAAAACTTTGGTTGGACTTTAAGGGCATTTTGTACAATCAAAAGGCTGATATTTCTGCCAAAACTATGTATAATAATAGAGCTTACATGACTGGCCTCTGATAAATTTGGAGTGAGAGAGTGATTCGAGTAGAACCCAGTTGTGGGAATCAGAGCTCGTGGATCGCCGAAAAGTCATTTGGGTGGTCCTTCACCGTTCGTCTTCAAGCTCGCGAACTGTCCAGCAACTTTGTCTATCAGATCCCAAGGTTCGATCGGACCACTGAAAGGCGTCGTCGGCGGTGACGGGATCTGAGGAGGACTGTTTGGCTTCCATTTCTAGAGACTGCGCTTCGACCGGACCAGTTTCCGATTCCGGTTAGAGTCGATTGCAGCGAATCAGTGCAAACCCATGATTTCTGAGTCAATACAGAGTCCAAATCAACAATGCCAATTTTAGAGAACACCACCATAGTTGAGCATGTGTTTGAGACTTTTGCTTAAGAGAGAGATTGTCTTTGAACGTAAATGGATGTGTATTTATCTAGAAGTAGTGCATGAGCCGGTTATAAGACCTAGCACGTGAATTGACTTGAAGAGTTGGAGAGAGAAAAAGATGGAGAGAGAGAAGTGAAAGTTGAGTTATTGATGATGACCATTTTTTTTTTTTTTACCCTGGCAAAAAAACCTGCCCTGCACTTACAAAGCAAACACCAAGCTCATACAAATATCATGTATCAAGAAGACCCACATTAAACTGACAAAACAACATGCCTGCACGTACAAAGCAAACCCCAAGTTCATACGTACAAATATCATGACAAAACAACCGCCAAAACTAAGATAGGTCAAGACATATGTCCTGATAACATCCTAATATAAGAAATATTGGATTACTTATATTCTTATGCTATCTACTTTGATTTATTCTTCTTTTGGCCAGCTGTTTAGCAGCTGAAATACCGCTTTTGCCAGCTCCAACAATGCCAATTTTAGAGAACACCACCATAGTTGAGTATGTGTTTGAGACTTTTGCTTAAGAGAGAGATTGTCTTTGAAAGTAAATAGATGTGTATTTATATAGCTAGAAGTGGTGCATGAGCTGGTTAGAGACATGGAATGAATGCGTGTGAATCTGGTTGTTGTATATCAAATCAATTTTCTGAATATGTAACTATCTATAGTAGTTGTTGCATACATACACCATCTGCTTCACCTAAGTTGTGTGAACTAACTGCCAAGTGTCACTTTTAAGTGTCACCTCTTTCTATCTCTAAAGTAAAGAAATTAGGTCTCTCTTTGGATATGATTTTAATTTGTAAATCTGAGGGGTGATTACGTAGCGACTGTTCCATCATAGAGCGCCCATGTCTGACGGTTTTTTAATGGGACCCACATACCCAGCATGACCACCGTGAGCGAGAGTGTTGAGTCCCGTGAATTGTCCTCTCTGCTGCACCAGCATCCCCGTGAATTGTCCTCTCTGCTGCACCAGCATCTCTACATTCTGAAATAATGATTTAACAACATGCTCCAGGTAATTTAGTCTTTTTGAAGATTGCGATGTATTTTCTTTTCTAGTGTTATTGTCTGGCGATGCATGCACATTTTCCTTGAAGAAAGTCAAGCACTAATTCGGACTAATTCAATGAGCTTCCGTTGGGAAGCATCCAAAAGTAATGGATTAGGTTGGATAATTAATTGCTTTGGACTGGGTTGAATGATTATTTTGGTAAAGCACTGATATTTGGAATACGAAGTCAAACTATTTATTTTTAATACATAAAAAGAAAATAAAGAAGGGGAGAGAAGATTTTATTCTGTGTAACATATAGTCAAAACTCGAAACTTATCACACAAAAAACTTTAATTTCTTTTTTATTTAGATTTTTATAATTTTAAAGTCATAATTCAAAATTTCAATGGTAAATTAGACTGACTCTAATTTTGTTAATAATACGCATTGACCTTTTCTCTTGTTTATCAAATTACACTTATTTTTCTTAAATTTTGTATGTGAATAACACGTACCTCCACTTTGTTAATAGTCGACGCAATTAACAATAAAAAATATTAATCTCGGCATTTTGTAACTTTTAAATTTTAGTTATACTTTTAGAATACATGTTTATCGCATAAAATACAATACAC